CTCCGTCAGCCTCTATCACGGTGCTTGGTTGTTTTATTGATCAACGCGAGCTTAAAATGAAGCGCGCCTGGCGACTGTAACTGCAGTACCGCTACAAGAAGCTTCCATCTTCCCAGCACTAGCTTAATTACACAAAACGCCAACTGATGCCAGGGCGTCTACAGAACAAAAGAACGGGAAAATTGTTTTTTTTTTCAAGGACTAGAAAACAAAATATCCCTGAGAGAAACAGTACAATAACTTGGCGTTTGCAGGTCACTAGGGAGGCTAGAATCCTTCTTGCACCTAATTGAGGAGACCATGGCTGACCACTGGCCTGTGTAATTGAAGCACGCTGCCGATTCTCGGCTCTAGCTGCTTCTGTAAGCAGCTGTGCCCGCTGTGCAATCACGTTAAACGTTCAATACCTCATGTTATATACATCAACACTCTGTGGAATTAGCGCGCCCTATATGTGTATAGTTGAAATCGCTGTTCTACCTGGCCTCTTGGGAAATCGTCGCGGGTACATCAATTTTCTGCTCCGAGAAAGAAGCGTCCAGCATAGAACTCACCCGGCCCGGCGAGGACTTTTTTCTTGTTAGCTCTACGATACCATCTGGGTTCCATCCCAGGCATTTGGGAAATCCCTACCCTCACACAACCGGGGCTTGCGTAACACCGCTATCTTGACGTCAACTGTTCCCAATGCTGTTGCTGTTATCCTCATGCAACGTGCATAATTCTTGGCGGTTCCTTCTGACTGTTTTACATTCAGAACTGTACTCGAGAAGGTCTGACAACTAATGAATATTCACTGGCTAGACAGAAAATGCGGAAATTCAGCAGGGGAAGACGGCAGCTTAATAAGGAAATGAAGAATTCGTGGGCGTGGGGTGTAGCTCGAGCAGAAGTTTCGACAAGCGGACCTGTCTTCTTCACGGCTGCTCAAAGGTTCTCGATTCGCAGCCTTGAAGAAGACAAGGCCGCTTCACGAAATGTCACCTCCAGTGACAGCGCATGTTCATGAGTTCGTCTGGTAAGAATAATGATAATATTTGACACGCAAGGCATTGAGTGTGTTGTTGCGTTTCTTGCGGGAAACTGGCCTCAGGAACAGACAATAAGCAGCGTTGTCTATCGTGTACTGTTTTTTTCCAACATCTGTTTTCTGTCATCTTTTACTCCCCTAACTACTTCCCTCAGCACATGGTAGCCAGCTGGTTTGAAAACTTTCCTTTCCTCCTCTTTTTCCTCATACTTCCCAAAACCACGATATGAAGGACGCCGTGGTGGTGGTGTTGGAAACATTTTATTACAGAAAATGTACCAGAGAGTTGCGGTATATTGCATGATTTAGAGGCAAGACCCTATTCCGGAATGCCAATGTAGTGTGCCGCTGCTCGCCCCGCCGCGGTGGTCTAGTGGCTAAGGTGCTCGGCTGCTGACCCGCAGGTCGTGGGTTCAAATCCCGGCTGCGGCGGCTGCATTTCCGATGGAGGCGGAAATGTTGTAGGCCCGTGTGCTCAGATTTGGGTGCACGTTAAAGAACCCCAGGTGGTCAAAATTTCCGGAGCCCTCCACTACGGCGTCTCTCATAATCAAGTGGTGGTTTTGGGACGTTAAACCCCACATATCAATCAATCAGTGTGCCGCTGCTCGAGCGCGCTTCACCAAGGAGCGTTGAGCATCCAAGGTCGAGCAGCCGAGCAGGTACTCCTCCCAGGCCTCTCTAGTTGGGATGGGGAAAGGGGGTGAAAAGGGAAAGGGGTTAGCAGGGCACGAAGCTACGACGTGGTAGGTGTCGGCCAGGACCTGGCAGGTCGAGCAGGTGCCACTGAGTTCCGGCAGAAAATCTCTGGCGTCGCCGGACTGAGATAGGTGTTCGTCTGGAGGCGGCGTAGTATTCACTCGTCCGCTTTCTTTAGACCACTTGCGGATTCCGGGTAAAGGTGGCGCGAAGCCCGGTAATAGGCAAGAATTTCGCGAAAGCGCGTAAGATTTGTATTGCCAGATTCTGACTTGGGACTTGGAGGGTTAATGGTGTGGATGTGGAAGGCTCCGGAAACTTCGACCATCCGGTTTCCTTTCTTGCACACTGACCTGGCACAGTACATAGGCCTCTGCCATTTCAGCAAACGAGAATAAGAGAGAAAGAGATAGAGAGAGAGAACGGTGGGGGCACACTGACATGACGCATAACCAAGCGCTCACTGAGACCAGTGTGCTTCAATAACTTCATTGAAACGCCGTCGGGGTCCAATAATTTTCAGTTCAGGAAATTCTCGGTTCCGTAGTTGCGGCTCTATGTTCACGAAGCTTTGTATTTGCAAGGGCCTTTGGCCATTGGCTGGTTGCCTTAACGTTAGGCTAACGCTACGTCCAGGCAAGCGTCAGCTGAAATCTTCTTTTACGCGTAATTCTAACATGAAACAGTTTTTTTTTTCAATACTAACTTTGATCTGTGCATAGTAGGATAGAAGTTGGACGTCATGTTGAAAGCAAATTCGAAACAGCTGTCGGCGAGTATTTACCATGGTCGATGGTTCAGTCGCCATTACGGTGCTCTGCCTAGCGTCATTTCGCCAGTACTTAGTCGAATGCATTAAGTGCTTCTTTCGCAAGTAATCTTTGCCGTTTACCAACCACGTCACTAAGAATGTTGTCTCTAAGAATATCGGTAGCATAAATTTAGATTCACTGGGATTTTTCCTTACGCAAAATCAAAGCCGTGTTTTTTTTTGGGGGGGGGGGGGGGGGGTTCGGGGGGGGGGGGGAGGGAGCGAAGAGAGCAATGGCAGCATAACAACTCGCGGAGGCTTAAGTCAAGAACACTCGTGAACTATGCTTTGGGTGCATGTTTAATAACTGAGTGGTTAAGACTAATTTAAAAATTGTTTTGCAGGGTTGCTTCCTTGATCGGGGCAATATTTTGGTACGTTACTTATTCGATAGACTAATACAAGCATGCACACACCCCAAATCAAGGCGCCTGACAGCAGGACACACCCTAGTGGGCCCGAGCTTCACCAGGTAGCACACCGTTTATTCTCGCATCGTCTCAAATTAAGTTCACGTTCTTAATTTCTCTCATATACACATCTATCTACAAAGCGCAACGCTCTTGTTCAACTTTTGCCACACGCTTCTTTTCCTCCTTTTTTTTTCCTTTCAGCATTCTTTACGCCTGTGCAGGTATTGTACCCCACGTACTTGAAAAAAAAAAGAATATGTAACGCTAAAAAAACTCGACCGTATACCGCGCTGTAAAGATAGAAAAGACTGACAACAGTAAAGGGCAAATAAAAGCTGAGATCGTACATCGCTTCTGGCGAAACGCGAAGTCCCGAAGCTCGTTCGTGACTTCAGGGATAAACGAAGACCCGGCAATGCTGGGGAACGCTGACGTTGGATTCGGGCGCGCTAGGAGGGAGACTAACCTGCTTCAAGAATGGGCGCGGTCAGGTAGGAAGGCGCTGGCACCGTGACTTTTTTTTTGCAAGTGTGTGCTTTTTATTCGCCGTTATTGAGCCCCACCACGGTGGTCTAGTGGCTAAGGTACTCGGCCGCTGACCCTCAGGTCGCGGGTTCGAATCCCGGCTGCAGCGGCTGCATTTCTGATGGAAGCGGAATTGTTGTAGGCATGTGTGCTCCGATTTGGGTGCACGTTAAAGAACCCCAGGTGGTCGACATTTCCGGAGCCCTCCACTACGGCGTCTCTCATAATCATATGGTGGTTTTGTGACGTTAAACCCTACATATCAATCAATCGCCGTTATTGAAGTAACTTCTGTCAATCGCCTTTGATACCCGCTCTCACATAAACCCAAAAGTGGAAAGGAACAGAACACACTTCGCCGAGGCTTACAGCAAACAAGATGTAAGTAGTGCGGGTGTTGGCGTATCGACGAGGAAGCTCTCGGTGTGGTTTTCTTTTTAATTCTTTGCTCTTTTGTGCTGAGATCTTTTGCCAGAGGCGTGAAAGAGAAGAAAAAAAGGTTTGCTTCACTCGCTTTCTCCGCTTACAATACAGTCCCATGTGGTAAATTTCCATAAGAAAAGAATATTACTCGCTTACGTGGATAAGATAAGCGGGATGATGCGATGCTGTCGATTACGCAACCAACATATTTATTTTGCATATCTTGTTCTAACGTGTGTGTGTGCGTGTGCGTGTGCGTGTGCGTGTGCGTGTGTGCGTGTGTGTGTGTGTGTGCGCGCGCGCGCGTGTGTGTGTGTGTGTGTGTGTGTGTTATGAAAACAGTCTGCTCAACAGGTTAATACAACTCAAACGACTGCGAGGGAGGGAGAGGGGCAAAAATGATGCCAAAGTCATCCAAATGATTACTAGATGCTCCCCAAGATAAGCGCAGGGAGAGAGCGAGGTGCTCGATCGCTAAGAACACAAGATGTGCCCACGCAGCCAGAAAAACTGTTCAGATATGGCCTTGTGGAGTATTGCGTCCACAACTTTCGGCATCACTCTTCTATATTTGAGGCCCTGGTGCCTAATGCAAGCGCCGATACTCCACAGCTTCGTAATCTAAAGTTAGTTGACTCAGAATGCACACTTCTCCACTCTGAGAATCAATTACAGCTGCACCATAGCATGCATTCCCAACTCCTGATGACATGCACGTGAGCCTGGGCCCTTTTTCGACTATAGGACATGAATACCTATATCAGATCGTACAGTCCTCAATGTGCTACAGCTTTTCGTTTTTTTTTTCAATTTAGAGGTGGTGCGTTACAACATCATCATCAGTTCATTAGATATCTTTAGCAGCATGAACTGTTGATTAGATAACTTGAGATTTTGCGCAACTAAAATTGAGGACAGCAAACTACCCGTTTTACAGGAAAACCCAAACCGTTTTTTACAAGAAAACACAGCACTGGTATGAAAGTGCAGGGGGACTTCGGGTGCCTCAAGACGCAAAGTTACCTCTATCGGGTATTACCACCCTCAGATTTACAGGAGCTATATGTTTTCTTACACGCGTTGCCTTCCTTCTCTGCAGACGCCGTGGTATCCGGTGAGCTCCGTGGGCCAGCTGCTATGAGCCGAAGCCTGTTCTCCGCCCAAGCGCTGTGGAGCTGCGTTTGCTTGACAGTGCTCGTCGGTTCCCTGCTCGCCGACGCTGAGCTGGACTGCAGGTGACGTCACTTCTTCAGCTCCCCCCCCCCCCTAAATATCCCCTTTCGTTCCCCTTTCCTGCCTTGCAAAAATGAAAAAAAGGTCATTTTATTAAACTGTTCTACACAGCATTGTTCTGCATGTTCGTCGAGTGTGCATACTATAGAGAACATCTCCTCTCGGCAGTTTGTAGTAAAATTTACATGCGTTCGTCACGAGGCACATGACCATCAGGCTCCTTATTCGCAAAAGGCATTTACGCAAGATATCCCCGCGCAACACAGGATTCCAGCCCATGCCGTCACTGAACATCTTATCGGTTAAAAAGGAGTAGGAGGTGTGGAACTCTGCAAATTAGGTCAAAGAACTTATGGATGAACCTAAGCGCATTTTGAAGGCGAGACTAGATATGTGCCCTGTGAAATGACGTCTTACTTTACGGGGGACATTTGCATAAGTGTTTGTACGTACCGTTACACATCCATTCAAATAAAGAGTCCTTAAGGAACATGAGGCTTTGTGAATTCAGCATTAGGGCACTTATTCAAGAAAAGGACTTGAGCTGGAATATTCGGTAAGAAAAAAATTGAATCAAAAGACGCCCTCTCATGTGAGAGGTCAACATTATGAAGGCTCAAGTGATTGATTCGTTTGATGAGATTTGTATTATGTGGGAGAAATTGATTGCTTACGCACTAATGATATAAAATTTACGTGAGAATTGTTCAAACGAAGTGTGTTAAGACACTTTGGCAGAATTGTGGAGGTTAGAAATGCACAGCATCGAACAAATGGATGCTTCAATGCCCTCTGAGCGAAAGCGAAAATTCCTTGCTAATCCCAATCATACCTAGGCAGCCTCCAAGCAAAAAATTATCGTTTTTTAAAACTGTCACTGCGGGTGGGCAACTCAAAACCAAGTGACGAAATGACATAACTTTTTTTATTCTGGACCCAGTCCCTGCTGTGTTCGTTTAGACATGTGGTGAAAATTCTGAAACTCACAATACTGAAATTCACAATAAGAAAACTTCGCTTATACGGTAGACCGATAAATATGGTGGTATATAGCGCCTCTATAAACCGATAGTATTTGCGTCGCGCGACTTCGCTTAAACTGTTGTCTGCTGAAGAGAACGCGACAGAATCGGCGGAGAAAGTGGAGGGACGGGGGGAGGGCATCAGTACGCGCTACAAATCACGGAAAATTTGGCGCGCCTGCCCAAAGTTTTCCCATGTGGTCGAGGAAGGTGTTCGGCTGAATGAAATTGATGGCCGCAAAATTGCTTCTCACCGGAACACAGCCGAGAATAAACTTCTTTTATTGGTCCTACTTCTTTCCATTAATAACAAAAAGTTAAAAAAGAAAATAGATGAAATAAAGGACACGAACATCAGCATTGGTGGATGCACGACTGCAGGTAATAGAAGAGCCGTTCCTGCGCTGTCAGGTTTAGCAAAATTACAATCACGACAGTGAAATGAATTTTTTTAAAAATTCTCATTGATATAAGGAACATTAAGTGGCTGGACACGTAATGAATGCGTATTACGTATGTGCGTATGATAAAGGTTTCCATGCCTGTAACTCACGAATTACATTACAACATAGATAAAATAAAAAAATGAAAAAAAACCTCGTCCAGGGCACGTCGTTTGCGTGTTACAAGCTTCCATAAACTGAATACGGCCCACAATCGGACGACGAATAGAATCTCACCGTTTCTTGTACAGTCTTTCGAATGGGGGTCGGCTGAGGGTGCGCAAACGGCAATTGCCCCCGATCTAAGCCACGCAAGCCATCCCTCTCCCCGCCTATCGGTGCAACACGTGCTTTGCACCCTTTAAGACAAAATTCTGCCAATGCCCATTGTTCCATGTTGCCTATAGGGAAGTATAGCCGCGGCCACGTCTGTGTAGAGCACGCGAGGGGCCGGTTGTCCAATTGCGGGGTGAAACCTTGAGACAGTTTCGGGCTCTAATGTGGTCAGCCTAACAGCTGGGCCGCACATGCTTCTGATACAGCACTTCAGAGCCCGAAACTGCATAGAGGTTTTGCCCCGCAGAGTGGAAACCGGCCCCTTGCGTGCTCTACACAGACGTGACCACGGCTGTACATGGTTGCTCTACCGTCGGAACAAACCAGGCATCTGAATAATCATAGCGTGAAGGCAACAACGTCATCTGCTTCGAGCTGCGACCTAATATTGTCAGTTGGTATCGTATAGCAATCACCCCGAAAAAGCGTCGGTCCCTAGTTCGAATACACAACCAGGGCGACAATTTTTGTAAGACGAGGAGCTTTCTTTCCGAGCATAAACTTTTCCTTGGCTTCTCACTATAAGCGGGTGGACGTCATATTTAGCCTTTCACGAACTATATATATACGCCTTGTGGACTTCATGAGAAATAATTCACCACATTGCCATCGCGATCTGTAGAAAATAGCGTACCTCTGCAAAGTGATTCGGAGACCACACGAGACGCCTTATAACGGGGTACATTCAATCTAAATGCCAAGTACTTGGAGTTGCTTAAAATGTGACCTACACCAGTGTACGAAGTACCCGACATTTTCGGGGGCGACGCTCCCTATGCTTTGGTTGTGCGTCCACAATGTATGCAGTAGTCGTCGTAGTAGTGGGTAGCTAGCTGCACGGCCGGACTGGAAGAGTGGCACGCGCGCACCCTTTCCAATTGAGGAGGAAACCCGCGCACGTTAATCACAAATAAAAAAGATAGTTGATCCTGATGAAATAACTTACAGAGACGAGTATTGGTGACTTAATCTACAATAAAATTTGCCTTGAATTTGATGCCTAATAAAAAAAAAACTAGTATCAGAAGGACGCACTTTGAGCACTACCTAACCAGAAAAAGTTGTCACGTTAAACTCACTGGGCGTAACCTCCTTGGTTTTTGACAATGCATTTCCGAGACGCGAAGCGGGACGGCTCAGTGCTCTCCTATTGTTGAGTACGGAGTACTCGAAGTCGTTAAACATTTTGCTAAACACAGGTTTAGCGAGGGCTGGGCCGCAGTGCCATGAATATAGTGGACTAGTATATAGCATTGAGCTGAAGTGGTGAAAGGTAAGAAGAACACGAAGCGCAGGCCATAAGAAAGTGCGCGAGTGCCACCTCTCGTTTAGTCCTTGGAATGTCCGCTGGGTGGCGGTAATTCTATGCTGAATATACGATGAAAAGATGCGAGGTGGTGGTACTTGGAGTGTTCACTAGACGGATGGATAGACGGACGGATGGATGCACGGACAGGCAGATGAACGCACGGATGGTCGCACAGACAGACGCATGGATGGCGGAATCAAGAAAAAAAGAAAGGACGGACGCTTTGCTCCGCTCATCATCATGCACACCGTGGATATGCTGTGATTTTCTTTACATTGCGTCCCAATTGAAACGTGGTTGCTACGATCAGAAATTTAATTGACGACGTGACCTGCACTCAGCATTCAACTGCCGCAATCACTGAAGTAAGTATGGGACCCCGTATGTAGATATGAATAATAGCCAGAAGATTAAACTTAACACACTTATCAGAAAGGTCCACAATATGGTCATGGGCCTGTCACCTTCCCCATCCACGGAAAAATTGCTTAAAATTGGAGTGCACAACACAAGGGAAGAGCTCACGGCAGCACACCATGTAAACCAGCTGAAGAGATTGCAGCTGACGAATACGGGTAGAGCCCTGCTCCAAGATTTAGGTTACCGCCTTGAGGATAGCATGCACGTCCCTCAGCGTGTTCCGTACGAGATCAGGAATAACTTACATATAAGAAATTTACCAAGGAACATTCATCCAGAATACGACAAAGGAAAACAAGCCAGGATAAAACTACTCAAGCAGATACTACAACGCACCAACAGAAATGAAGAAAATGTGAGATACACGGACACAGCGGTTTGCCTTACAAACGACCGTTTTGCTATAAGCGTGGTCGACAAAATCGGCAAAGAATTGAGAGCAGCATCTATACATGCCAAGGACACGAGTACAACGGAATAGCTGGGCATAGCCCTGGCCATCGCCACATGCAAGAATACGTGGGCTACCATGATAACAGATTCGCAAGAGGCGTGTAGAAGATACGTGAACGGAAGGATTGGAATGGCAGCACTACATGTCTTAAAAGGAACCAAGGGGGACAAAATAATCATCCTTTGGACACCTGGACATGAGTCTCTCACGGGGAACCAGGCGGCGCACGCCGCGGCTTGAGATAATGCACGCCGAGCCATCTCGGACACGCTCGGATCACGTACCGACGGCTGTCACGACGAGAAAAAGCGCATACCGAAGAAGTACGCAGCCACTTTGGCACACTACAGGAAGCAGAGGAAATGGTACCCGCCGGCACACAACAGTCTAAGTAGGGAACAAGCGCTGACATGGAGAAGACTACAAGCCGGAACTTACCCGCACGGTACATTGATGCACGCTATGTATCCAGGAACGCTCAGGCGGGACTGCAAGCTTTGCCCTCCAGACACGCGCAACACTCTGCGCCACATGGTGATGGAGTGTCGCAACAGTCCGGACATACCACCATCATCACCGCTAAATGCAAACAGAGAGAAAGAAACGGATCCAGGGAAAACATTCGAAGACCAGTGGGAGGCTTTGCCGGTGACGTAAGACCCTGACAACCAGCTACGATTGGTGAACCGGGATTGAGCGGCGGCAGTGAGTCATGGCTACCTGGACTGAGGAGGCCACCTACCTTAGGGCTGGAGTACAAAGAGCCTGGTCCAAATAAAGCTTATTTCATCCATTCACTATGTACATTCTCACAAGCGGCGAAATGATGTTAGTCGTGTATATATGCATTTGTATAGATACCGATCAGTTGTTGCGCAGTATAAGCGCAGATTTAAAACAATCCCCAAAACCTAATCCTTTAGATACCACGTATGGGGAAACTCGGCATCTGATACGGAGCGATCATAAGTTCCCGACATCTAGATGTAAGCCGTTTGCTAGTAAATTGTTATAGCGA